TGTCGAACTCTCTCGTAGATAACGACCAAATTAGGAATAACAGTGACAATGAAAAATACCATAACGGCCATGCAAACATTCCTAATATCGGGAAACACCGCGGAATATCGTACAACTCTTCGAAGCAGGAATCAAATGAAGCTCTCAGCGAAACAATTGGATCTGGTGGTATGATTGTCGTATTTTAACATTAAATCAACTTTCCTGCACCACAGTTTACCTTTACGCCAATGTAATGGTGGCGTAACCAGTGGTGTATAAGCTGCTAAAGTCAGAGCCAGTGGAAAAATCCAGTAAGCTATTGCTTATTTCCCGGATATTTTGTTCATCGTCTGGATGAAATTTCTGAGACATTACACGCCCTCCTTCTTTATTCCTCAACTCTTCTACTGGCAGTTCTCCTAATGCTCTCAGCGACGGCCATTATTCCTTACCGAAGCGAAAGTGGGTCAGCAGTTTCTGTTTTCTTCATTTTTTTTTTTTGAGTTTTGAAAAAATATGGCGAAAACAAATTGATATCCATGTTTATAAAGTATAGCACCACGAATGCGCAGCGTCATCAAATTTATAGTGTTTGCAGCTCTAAAAGTGTTCTTCTGATTAAACTCAGGCAGGGACGCACCAGGCTTGCCGGTGCGATCATTCAATCTCCCAGTTTTCCTGATTGCTTAGATGAAAGTGGGTGAAAAAATGCACTCGCTTTCGCGCGTGTGCACACACAGACGACCTCTTGACAATATGCGTCTTTGGTAGCTGTAGCAGCGCTATAGCACTGCACAGTAAAAACGCATAAAAACAGCACTACCGCTTTATTTTTTTAAATCCCTTATTTTTTTCAATAGTTTTTTTGGAAAAATCTAATAAGTGCAAAGCCTGCGATTTAATGCTGTGTCAGAAACAGTTGCAGGATGTAAAGTGTGGACGGGACAACACTATCCGAATTCACCAAAACCACACAGATTAAAGAACACTGGTTGGCAATCTCAACCACCGTCGCAGTCACCGCATCATACTGACAATTCAAGAAATGCGGAAGGAAACTCTAAAAATTTCTCTCAGCGCATTAATCTAAAAGAAAATTTTAATAGTGCAGAGCATAGTGGGAGATACGCGATGAATTTTCGTTCAAGTTTGGAGCAAAAAGCTGAACAATCCAAGAAAGGTCCGGAGCTGCCAACTGTGGAAAGCCATGAGGATCGCTATCCAATATATCCAGAAAAAGAATTTTGTGATATAAGGAAGCAAACAGGGGACCGTTTCGAAAAATCAGCAGTGAACTATCCCGTCCAAAAATACTATGTCGGCACACAGAATCGGATGTTAAATGGGCGTCCTATTGCCAATTGTCTGTTTTCTAACTCAGTCGAGGAAAGCGAACCTACCTCAGACAGACAGCGAAGTGCTTCTAGTCCCAGGAATGCTGAGAAGAAAACTGTCACCATGTCAAGGAATGATCACACCAGTCAAAAACATTATTCTGAAAGACCTTTGCGTCCTAAAGAGGGCATTAACGAGATTAAGAATCGTCTTAATACTGTGCTTCGCTTTCCAAAAAAAACTGTGAAAAGTGAGGAATCAAGTCAAAATCCTGAGTACAGTGCATGCAGACCAGTCGATGTGCAACAGTATTCCAGAATCGTGAAACCGCATCCGCCAGAATCCCTAGAATCTGACTGCTTGCAGTTTCAGCAATCAAAATCTATACGTACCAATCCGGCAGTTTATTCAATACCCATTAAGCAGCAACATATCCGCGCGACATCAGCACCTAGAAGACCTACGCATCCGGAAACACAGCCGACCACCAACGTTTTTATGAATCCGGTTTATGCTCGTGTTGACGCTTCAGACTGTAAACCAAGTGGATATCTGCGGCCAATGATACCGGTGCCACGATGGCATGCACCAACTATGAGCAATCCTTCCTGGGGGCAAAACCCAGTAAACCCGCCTGTCCGCTTGCCCGTTTTGCAGCGTGTTGTGTTTCCAGCTGTCCAGAACAATCAACGCTCAAAAAAAGCTCTCAGGAGATTCATTTGGTAAATACTGCTTTTTCTGCAAAATTTTCTCTTCCATCTTAAAAAATCAAACTTTTCACTTTGACTGAGAGTTCACGCGCTGCTCCGGCACTTCTTTCATTTAAAAAAAAAAAAAAAATTAAAAAGTAAGATTTTTATAGCGGCTTTTTTACCAAGTTAAATTATATCTGGATGCGGGAAACACAAGAAGTTGCCAGAGACATTCTAAGAAGTTACCGGAAATTTGTCACTGTAGTTTAATTTAGTTGACACAGTTTTGCTATTAATTAGATTAGCTAATTTTCCTACTACTTAATTAGCCATTATAAATTAACATAATCTAATAGCAAGATCGTCTTGGCCGTGACTGATTTCTTCAATGATTATTCATACATCAGAAGCAATAATATCAAATATATTATCTCACTGACACTTATCAGTTCCGTACAAAGCAAAGCAAGTTACAGATCATCAAGTTTCGCCAAACTGATGCAAAACAGAAGCATGATAACAGTCCATTATCGTTTGTTGCACAGTAGAAATTCACATTACTTTCATAATAAGATGTCTGAGCGCGTAACTTACCTCGCATATGCTGTTTAAGATATGATAAA